ACAACTGTCCAAATGTCTTTTTGAACTCAACTGGAGGGAACTACGGCTTGTGAAACTACTAGATGGGGAGGTGCCTCAACAGGGGGGAGGGGCAAAAAAGACTTCGGCCCAGTCAAATATCAGTAAAGTTTACGCAGCCCAGACAGAAGACGTGGATACGAGTACCAGGGCGGAAGATGTTCCTCGATAAGCAGGAGCAGGCTCTCGTCCATCACCTTCATGTACACCAAATATGAAGCCATCTCCAATCGCAGCCTGACTGGAGAAGGCCTATGGAATTCACGTCACCTACAAACAGCTGGGAAACATGGACAGCTACCTGGGGACGGAAACTTTTGATCTGGAAGATCTCCAACATCGAGCAGCTCCGACAACGTCGCTACGGTCCAGGATATCATCTTCACCGCAGTCGCCAAGGCGCGGGTGATGGTATGGACCGGAAGTTCCTGGAATGGAAAGACCGAATCCCCTTCGCAGACCTCGGACTGAAAGTAAGCGCTGATGGTTACATCGACCAACTCGAGGAGAATATCCTGCCTTCATGTCGTCGCCTGTACCATCTTGGAAACTTCGTACTGCTACAGGATTGGGTGCCATCACATGGAATTAAAGGGCGTTGGAAGAAACTTTCGCCTACTTGGAATGGAAGGGCGTTGAGTACCTGAAGAACAACGGAATATCCAAGTGTGTCACCTGACCTGAACCCCTCGATTACCGGGTTCGAGCGGAGCTCAACAGGGTGGTCTACAGTGGCGGAGAAATCAGCGACCTCGCTGAACTCAGGCACCGAATCACGGTTGAAGTCAGATGCTTTCCTCATCGGTGGTCCTCAGGCCTTATCAGCAAATCATGGCATCCATGAGGCGCCGCAGATGCTGGAAATGATCGCACACTATGATAACTGCTGTTTTACGCCGCAGTTCGCGTTCCGAAAGTTATCACAAGAATGCTGAGTTATGGGCAAAAGTCGTGCCCCAGGCGGGAGTCGAACCCGCACCTCACGCTTTCCGGGCGTGCGCTATCCGTTACGCCACCAGGGCCGCTTTTACCCTCTCAGCTCAACGGCTTTATGCCGTAGCCCTGCAGCACTCACATGTGTCACATGGTCGGTCAACCGTAATCGTTAGATATCGGCAAAAAAAGCCATTCGAGCTGAGAGGGTAAAAGCGGCCCTGGTGGCGTAACGGATAGCGCACTCGCCCGGAAAGCGTGAGGTGCGGGTTCGACTCCCGCCTGGGCACGACTTTTGCCCATAACTCAGCACTCTTGCGATCGTACAATAACAATGGTCTACACGGGGGTGGGGGCAAAAAAAAACTTGTTTCTTCCTTGACTTTCGAGGCGCTATAATTTACACTGGCACTATTGAACTATTCCTACCCCAAAAACTCAAAAAAAATTTTTCGCTGAAACGTTGCCTATAGATGTAATTCGATGCGCTGATCACGAATATCACATCCGTTTCGAGCGCTGGCGTCATTTGGCGCCATGCGCCAATTTGGCGCCCACCACTTTTTTCACCAAAGTTGATGAAAACTTGCATATGGGGGTTAATCGACATCCTGATCACGAATATCACACTGGTTTCAAGCGCTGGCGCCATTTGGCGCCATTATGCGCCAATATGGCGCCAAATTGGCGCGTAATGGCGCCAGCGCCAAAAATAAATGTTGGATTCGTAATCAGGACCTCAATTAACCCCCATATGCAAGTTTTCATCGACTTTGGTGAAAAAAGTGGTGGGCGCCAAATTGGCGCATAATGGCGCCAAATGACGCCAGCGCTCGAAACGAATGTGATATTCGTGATCAGGCATCGAATTACACCTATAGGCAACGTTTCAGCGAAAAATTTTTTTGAGTTTTTGGGGTAGGAATAGTTCAGTGCCGTTACACTTTATTAAATCTTATCGGACACTTCTACTACCATATTAAAGAGCATATTAAATACTATCACGATACTCCGCCACAGCCTTCTGGAGGAGCGCCATCGAGAGATTCTGCCACGCGACCGTGAGTGGGTGCCTGAGTTCAGCGAGATCGTCGATTTCTCCACCACTGTAGACCACCCTATTGAACTCTGCCCAAACCAGG